TATATATATAGTTACATAGTTATACATATCATACAAAAACTCACCACATTTCCACTTGTGCGTTCCTGTTTATAGGATACACTGATTCTGGGTTCAGTGGGAACAAACAGCTGGCGTGGTTCTCTCCAAGAACGTCGAGATAAAACAGAAACAATTGAGGATCAAGAAATGGAGATGGACTCCTACATGGGTAAACTTTATTTACACATTATCTGTTGTTTCCTTCTTTAAAATAAGATTTCGTTATTTGGCTCAACACTTGAACAAATGAACTTTGGAAGGTTCCAGTCTAAATCAGTTTTAATGTCTTCCAAGTACAACAAATACACACATTAGTTTTTCAAATAAAAACATGTTGTGTGTTATATTTGCCTCTTGCAGGATATTCTGTCTCTGTTGGAGAGAGGGATGGGGTTTCTTTGTATTTCACGGGTGCACCCCGGTTTCAGCACACAGGACAGGTCGTACTTTTCAAACAAAACAGCAACAACTGGACCACAGCACAAAGAATAACTGGAGACCAGGTCAGTACCTTTTAATTGTTTTTCTTCATATGGCTCCGTTTGACTTTGGAAGTAATTCTATGTCTCCATGTCATTGTTGATACCTGATTGTAGTGTTGCCTTGAAATAAATGCAAATTTTCTTGATCAAATCTACAGTTATTTCTATTTTAAATCACTTCTATGTGTAGATCAGTGATTCACATTAACAATTATAGAAAGGTGCTCTATATTATAAAGTAAAGACAGTGAAATATTAGAGAACCACAACAAGCAGACGATCAGCATGATCAAACACTTGATTGAACTCTAGTAACAGGAACAGACATCTAGCAGACTGGTTGAGGTAAAATAAGACAGAAAATAAGAGCATGGAGATAAACCACAAATGTCAAACATGACAAAACACAAGCTAAAGGAGAGAGAAGACAGAAGTCACCAAGTTGCAGTAATGATGTCGTACAGGGATTGAAAAGATGGGAGTGAAAGAAATATGAAATGCATCACTAGTAGTCTGAGTCTAAAATGATGATAGCGTTCAATGTTTGCAACTTTCCAGACTTGTGCAAAGGCAAATAAACTCTGTGGCTACACAGAGGAAACCAAAGAGCTTCCTTACACTGGCACCTTGTTTGATTTAATAAAAACAGTTCAAAAATAAAACTTGTTCAAAGCACCGTAAAGCATTAAACTTACTTTGCAGGCATACATGTCGGTTTCTGTAACTGTTTTTAGGGATTCTTGTTTTTGTCAGCATGTTTATTTTGTTTTGTGAAATCATATTTTCTGGCAGTAATATTGTGTTTTCTGTACATGAAGCATTTTCCCTGCATTGATCATTTTTGAGACACATTTTTCTATATCCCTAAATGATATAAATCTATAATTAAAACAACACTGAACTAATGATATAACTAACTTGTCAGATCGGTTCCTACTTCGGCGCCGAGCTGTGTTCGGTGGATATTAACTCAGACGGTGACACTGATTTCCTGCTGGTGGGAGCGCCAACGTTTTACCAGCTTCAGGAGAAGAAAGAAGGTCAGATCTACATCTACACTCTGACTGATGAGGTGAGCCACCACTTTGTGATATTACAGTGTGACATTCAATGCTTTCATGATCAAACTCAATGAACTAATCTCCTCTTTTCTCATAGCTGCAACTGAAAAGTGAACTGATTGTGATGGGACCATCCATGGGTAGATTTGGCACCACCATATCCAGCCTCGCAGACCTGAATGGAGATGAACTCCGAGACGTTGCTGTCGGAGCTCCGCTTGAGGATGATAACAGAGGTGCTGTGTATATCTACCTTGGAGACAGACATAGAGGGATACGCAGCACTTTCAGCCAGGTGAGAGACGGACATGGAAACCACAGTAACCATAAACAGCAATGGGTTTGGAACAAGTGAAATATTTTTCAGTAATTTTGAATTTACTTTTAAAAACATTTTTCTGTCTCAGTCTTAACACCTACATAAGTTACATTCAGCAACAGCATCGTAGGAACTTATACAATTTATAAAACCTCATGCGTGTATAAATGGACATAGAAGGACATAGCCACTGTGACATCACTATAATTTAAGCTGAGAAAAGTCAAAATATCAAAGTAACATGAGAAACTTTTTAAGTTTCTCAATCTTTGACTTTACTAAATCAACATATTTAGCTGACTTTTCATGTTCATCCAATAACAATATTCCTCTGAACTTAAAAATAAATGTTAAACTAAAAGAAAGTGAAATTCTTGTTTTTGCTATTAACAATGTTTGACAGCTTACTTATTTCCTGTTTGTCTTTTTTTTTTTTGGCCACAAGATTGGAAAAATGGGAGCATCACTTAAAGAAAGATGTCTGCTGTTTACATTTTTTTTTTTAAAAAAAAAAGGGAAAACAGAGGACCAGATCAGAAATGTTCTTGCTAACCTGACAGGAATGTTGTAATTAGTAGGGGTGCAACGATACTCTTATCGATATTGAACCGTTCGATACAGTGCTTTCGGTTCGGTACGCATATGTATCGAACAATACAATTTTTTTTAATTTTTTTTTTTTTGTGTCCCGTTTGGATCTATAGCCATCAGAATTGTTGTCTTGAGGCCAAGAAAGATGCCAAGAGGATTTATTTTACCAAGTGGATCATGGCCTTGCCATATTGGTCCATTTGATTGACCTTTATTATAATTATGAATTTATTTTATTTTCAGTTGCAAACGGGACAGACATGACTGTGGGATAGGACAGGGGGAAAGAATGAAAGAAAGAGGGGGAGAGAAAGAAAGAAAACCAAAGGGGAGAAAAAAAAAAGAATACAAAATTTGTAATTTATTTTATCAACTTTCCTTCTGACGATGCTGTCTGTGTTGAGCGCTCAGTGAATCTGCATTTGACTACTCCGCCTAGGCTCGAGAGTGCAGCCTAGGCGGAGTAGTCGAACGCAGATTCACTGAGCACTCAACACAGCCATGGTCAGAAGGAAGAGCGCAGGGCAAGCTAGCGAGACAGAAGTGGACCTCCCCACCCTCATTCAGATCTGGCGTTTGGAATTATTTTGGTTTTCATGTGACGTATGACCCTGAAGGTAAGCGAGTCATGGACTAAAGTAAAACAGTATGTTGGATGTGCCATGCAATGCTCAATTACATGGGTGGGAGCTAGTGTGTTAGCGCAGTTAGCTCGTTAACGTGTTGGCCGTCTAGCCCCTCTGTATAGGGTAGCTCGTTAACGGAGATTTGCCGTGTTGTGGCGTTAAGGTTATTTCAACGAGATTAACGCTGACAGCACTAGTGGGAACACAACGAATATGACTGCACATTTACACCGACATCATCCTAGTGCAAAGACAAAAACAACAAGCATGCATGCTACAAACTTTAGCCGAGTCATTTAGACAGCTGTTAGCACAGGATTCTCCTTATGGAGACCTGATATGTTTAATATGCTGCTGAGAATATAGCCCAGAAGAAGCGGATAGTATAGCTTTTATTTTGGAAAGAGACATTTCTCTGTAATAAACTCTCTTTTCCAAAGATGAGTGATTCCTCAATCAGATACAGGGCTCGCAATATCGCTAGCCCGGGGCTAGCGATTTTTTTCAGTCGGGCTACCAAAATCTATCTCTTCCCTGCCTGTCGGGCTATTGTAGGAAGGAAAAATATATGTCAATGCTTTTGCATTCTTTCAGAAATGTAGCTGGGTAATTATGTCATTGGGTGAGCCACTGTCAATATGTGACATATTGAAATCGTGTTTGGATTTGCGCTTGTTTTTTTGCTTTCACTTTGCAATCGCGCGAACTGTGTATAGAGAGCGACAGCACTGATCTGTGAGTGATGATAATTTGTGCACCAATTCCTCTGACATCGTCTTATTAATTGTTAGCTTACTATGCAAACATGACAAGTGAAATCTCCCGCAGCTTAAACATGTGAGAGGTTGATCGCGCAGAGAATCGCTGAGCTTATGTGAGTGCGGCAGGATATATATTTCACTACGATGACCTGGATGATTGAGAACCTTCACAGACAGATATATATTTTAGTTCTGCTGAGCCAAATAAGACAGGTCAGGGTGAAGAAGTGACAGCCAAAGAAAAGCTTACCACAAAACGGAGAAGTTATGACAAATCAGACTATAAGGCAAAAAGAAAGTGCAGCTTTATGGTTTCATGGACAAAAGAATTTCTGTGGCTGCAATATGATGAGCTAAAAAACAACACGCACAAGGGTTAGGGTTAAATTTAAAAACTGTACTTTTGAGTTAAAATATATATTTATAATTTTAATAAATGACAAATTAAAAAGGCATGAACATTTTTTTTGTATCGAAAAAATATCGAACCGTGACACCAAAGTATCGAACCGAACCGTGAATTTTGTGTATCGTTGCACCCCTAATATATATATATCTAGGTCAGCCAGTGAAAACAACGGGGAAAATAGAAATAGACTACAAAAAAACCACAACCACCAGTAGGCAACGGGTGAAGCGTCTTGCCCAAGGACGCAATGACCGAGACTGTCCAAGCCGGGGCTCAAACTGGCAACCTTCTGATTACAAGGCGAACTCCCAACTCTTGAGCCACGCTACGCTAAAATAAAATAATGTAAACTACAATAAAACAGAAAAACAGGGTGTTAATTCAAGCTAAAAGCCAGGGAAACAGATGAGTTTTGTTTTGTCGCCATCGCAGTGCTTTAATCTGCTGAGTCAACTGAGATTAAAATCTTTTAAGGTACAGCTGGCCATGAATCCCATGATTTTAAGTATCATTTCAAGTAACAAAAAAAAAACTTTAACAGCACAAATCTCCAGCAAGTCAGCTCAATCTCTGAGCAGTGTTTACTTTTAATGGAATAGTATTTTATTGTATAATTTAGTACACATTACATAATTTTGCATTAGTGTAATTGTTTTCTTCATTTGAATATAGTACACGTGTAGCATTCATTTCATTGTTTACTAACTAACAACAACAACAACAAACTTTATTTATATAGCACATTTAAAACCAGTGGTGTACAAAAAATGCTTAACATACAAGAGGGGGAGATGAAGTAACAGGGGAGGATCAAGGCTGTGGCAAAGTACCAACATGCTAGCATGTTAGATGGCATTTAAAACACAGAAGCAAAAGAAATCCATATAAAAGCATAAAAGAACAATATGTGTAAAGGATAAAACAGTCAAAAATTTTAAAAATGATTAAAAGTAGTTAAGAATGGACTGAAGATAGAAATAAGCATTAAACTAACAACCAGTCATTAACTGGTAGAAAAGGTGAGGCTAAATAAGTGGGTTTTTAACCGCAGTTTGAATCTTTGACTTTGCGCAAGCACTCACGAAAACCGTGCAAAGACATAGCAGGATCATCAGTTAATTCGAAATAGATCTGTATGTCGTCAGCGTGACAATGATGTGCAATGTTGTACTTCACAAAGATGCCTGAGGGGAGCATATACAGTGAGAAGAGCAGGGGGCCGAGGACAGATCCTTGAGGCACGCCACACGAGAGAGGTGCAGCAGAGGAGAGATAAGGGCCAAAATTGATCGAGAAAGGGCTATTAGAAAGATATGACTTAAACCAATCTGTGTGTTCAAGCCTCGCTAATAGGATGTTATGATCTACCATATCAAAGGCCGAGGATGGATCCAGTAGGACCAGGACTGAAGAGCGTCCAGAGTCAGCAATCAGAAGGAGATCATTGAGCAAGGCTGTTTCAGGAAAGAGAATGAGGCAGCTCAGTCTCTTTCCTTTGACAAGAGTTTCTACCAATCCTACTATTAATGATACTAACTAATCATGTGAACATATTCCAGCTGATAAAATCCTGAAAATACAAGCCAAGGGCTTCAATTAACCTTCACATGAAACATCAGAATAGGAAACAAACAACTTGAGCTCATAGATTTTGACTTTGGAATGATTGCTGATATTTGTGAAACTGTTGATTTCCGGAATTTAAAAAAACAAAACAAGCAAAACACAAAAACAGCCAACTGTCTGTGAGTGGAAAAGGCTTAGATAAAGGGCATCGAGGCGACTGTTGTTGTGATTTGGTGCTGTATAAATACAATTAAATTAGAATAGAGAGGATGGAGGAGAATGGGCAAAATGTCATGTGAAATCTACATCACAAAGAGTAGCATTTCTTATAAGACCTTTGTTACATTTTAATGTAAATGCACCGTTTTTCTCTGCCATACAAATATGTGTGAAAACACTTTTTCAGTATTGAAATCTCTTATTTCAGAGAATCACAGGAGACAAAATAACACCTGGGATAAGATTCTTTGGACAAGCCATCGATGGGGGCGTCGGCATCAAAGAGGACGGCCTCCCAGATATTGTGATCGGATCACAGGGCGCTGCTGTTGTCTTAAGGTAGGGTTAGTGTGCTTAGTGTTAGGGTTACAGCTCCCTTTGCACAACTCTTGTGCTTTGAGTTTTAATTTGGGGGGAAAACACAAAGTTTAAGTTGTTGTTGTTGCCGCAAATTGCTCCATAATTTGTAGATGCAGTTTTTTGCAAATTGGTGAATTTCTGCCCATCATTACCTGTGAGAAACTCGACCACTTTCTCATTTTAAACATGTGATATTTTTTATGTTCTGTTGTGAATAAAATATGGATTTATGGATGCATTCTGTTGTTACATTTTATAAAGTGTCCCAAATTTTTCAGATTTGGTTTTGTATATAAAATAAAGAACTAATGTTGCTATACTGTATTATGTCCTGATATATAAAACCTTAGTATTGAAAGAGGGCATCATTACTACTTTCTTATTACTGTTCTTAAATGTCTTTCAGCTCCAAGCCCGTCTTTAATGTGATGGCTCACCTATCTTTCCACCCTAAGGAGATAAGCACAGAGAAACTTGACTGTCAGGGTGCAGAAGGAAATTTACTTATGGTTACCTTAACAGCCTGTTTTGAAATGGTAGAAGCAACAAAGAGCAAACAAGGTAGGAGCCTCATTCAGTAAACCATTTAACAGCTGCTGACTGCACCCTGTGAATGCATTATTGTAATCCTGCTCTGCGGGTTTACAGGGAATGTGAACTCTGGACTGAACATCACATACATGTTCGCCGTGGACCCAATGAGACAAAAACATCGAGGTTTCTTCACTCAAACTGATACGAAAACCAGGAGTCTTACCTCCACCTATGAGCTGAAAGATGAAATGACTTGCTTAAACTTCTCCATCTACATGCACGTATGAAGCTGAATTCATAATATTTGCACATATTCTCAATCTGATCAAAAGCAAACCTCGTGTTTATTGCTCCTCTCTTGTTGCTTTTGCTTTACAGAAATGTGTGATCGACACATTGTCACCGATCAGCATCAAATTAAACTTTTCTCAAGCTGACAGTGAGACTGCTAACATCACCCTGAACATGGACAGCAAAAAGCAGTCTGCTGTTGAGGTACGTTCTACATACAACATCAATATTCACAATATTGACAAAGCTGCATCTACACATCCACTATTTTGAGTGTTAAATGAACACTTTGACAGTGTTATCAGTAGCCTAGTCAGGTTTAAAGATTAACAACGACTAACACTGAGCATTTTCAAACACTGGAAAATAACCTAAAATGTTAGGGATATTCCAGTGTTAGAAAATCAGTACTGCTTAGTGTTAGGCTCCTGTTAAAATATAACACTGTCAGTGTTCATTTAATACTGGAAAGAGTGAACCTATATAGAAACTCTCTAGTGTCAATTTAACACTGTACAATGTTTACCACATTCACCACCTCAGTTTAGTGTGTTAGGAAGGAAATCTTTTTTCTGGCATCAATTAAACACAAGTTTTATTTTTCGCAGGTTCCTTTTGAGAAACAATGTAGAAAAAATGACACTTGTATCGCTGAACTGGATGTCAAATTCAAATTCGAGTATGTATATCTACAAACACGACTCAGATATAATACGATTAATGTCATATGTTTAATATTAGGTGTTGTTTGTCTCTCTCAGGACTCCGACATTATTGGTGACAGAAAATAACTACTTCAATGTGACTATACATTTGAAAAATGATGGTGATGACTCATACAACACCAGCCTTATAATGTTCTATCCTCCAGGCCTCTCCTTCTCTAGGATGACTCTTATAAAGGTAACTATAAAGATACATTACAATACAATACAGTTTTATTTAAATAGCACATTTAAAAACCCAAAGGCACACCAAAGAGCTTCACAATGATACAAAGAATCAACATAAATCAATTAACAAAGTACAGATTAGGCACTAGCACTAGCACAGACAGAAAGGAGGCACTAATAGACCAGAAGAGTTAAGTAAAATGTCAATTCAGAAGGAAGGTCAGTTCATGGATACAAAATCTGAACTAAAAAGTAAAAAAAAAACAGTGAAATTAATTATAAGTTTATTGAAAGGGCATTAACTGGTCGGGAAAGTCAGGTTAAATAAGTAAGCTTTCAATCTTGATTTGAAGGACTGGATAGAGTCTGGGGCATGAATAGAAGCGGGGAGGCTAGTCCAAAGGTTGAAGCAGCTGAAGCAAAGACACGATCGCCTGGTTTTCAGCCTAAACTTAGTTTGGGCCATCACGCACGACAAGGAGTGTACAGATTGAGAAGTTCAGTGAGACAACTGGGTGCAAAATTATTCAGAGTTTTAAAGTGAGTAGCAAAATGTTTAACGATATTTGATAAGTAACCAATGTTAATCAACAAGAACGGGAGTGATAGGATCAAATTTTTTAGCTCCAGTAAGAAGGCGAGCCACAGCCTTCTGAACAAGCTGTAGCCTATGAAGAGAGACAGATTGGAGACCACAGTAAAGAGAATTGCAACAGTCTAACCCGGAGGTCACAAAAGCATGGATACGTTTTTCGAGGTTCCTGTGTGGTATATAATGCTTAGCTTTAGAAATCTAGCGAAATTGAAAGAAGCCAGATTTAACTACAGATGACACTTGCTAATCAAGCTTAAAGGAGATATCCAAATAGACACCCGGGAGAGAGTGAGAGTTAGCAAGAGGCAACAAGCTGGTCTCGAGGAATATGGCTATTGAACACCATAATTTCATTTTTTTTTTTTCATTTAAAATGAGAGAATTATCCGACAGCCAATCTTTGACCTCTCTCAGGCAAGCCAACAAGGAGTGCAGTGACAATAACCAATGGTCAATGGTCAATGGTAACTTTATTGTCCCTGATGGGAAATTGATTCGCAGTATGTCAAAACAAACAACAAACATACAACCAACACATCACGTACACTCATTAAAAAAATACTATAATATAATATAAGCCTGATAAAACAACCTAGATTTTCCATCGAAAAAAGTGCAATGTGCAATGGCAACACTTACAACAGATCATCAGTCAGTTGACAATAAATTTGAATGTTGTTAGTGTAGCAATGATGAGAACTACTGTATTTTTCAGAAACACAGTATTTCTGAAATGCCACTTTTCAGAAAAACCTATGGTCACGAGCTGTGGGTAGTGAGTGATAGAACGAGATTGAGGATACAAGCGGTGGAAATGAATATTAAACTGTAAAATTATGTCTCAAAATGGATTAACACTCATCGCATACAAGACCTTGCATATGATGAAGAGGAGTTTAAATTCTACATTTAACAGAGAGCCGTATGGGAGAAATATGCTCTGTCTTTCTAGTCCTTTCAGTAATCTCACTGCAGTATTTTGGATTAACTGAAGGCTTTTCACAAAGCTTATAGGACAACCTGGTTATACACAATAGAGTTTACAGGTTGCAGGGAACTCGATTTTATGTGCATTTCTGTGCTGGGTTGCACAAAATCTGATAAGTTGCCTTAACTTCCTTCCTGTGGTTGTCCAGTAATGCATTTCCTCTTCTTTCTGCTTATGTCTTAAAATCCTAAAACTCACAATCTTAACCAATGTTTTTGCTGGGAAAAGGGAAATTAAATGAAAGGTTACTCATATCTGTTGGGTCTAATTACAAATGAATGAAAACCATAAGAATAAAATAATACTTTGGTGGAAAACTGCTTTTTTTTTAAATGAAAAAAGCAGATAACCTTACTGGAGCCACTCAATGCATACATCTATACAAACCCATTTTAAGAGGATCAGTTGTTCCCTTCATTGATGGTGCATGTTCAGCTCAGTGAAGTGATCACTGACTGATCCTCGTATAGTGACCACTGTGTAATAAAATGCAGGAGAAACTAAATGCATGCAATCTATTTTCATTTGCACATCAAAACAGAGCTCAGCATCAACAAGGTTATGAGCAGACGGTTTTCGGAGACATGTTGGCAAGTTTACTGTGTTTTACTGATGAATACATTATTTTTGTCATCACGGACTTCTAGAACATTTTGAGATTGGCAGTATTTGATATCGCTTACGGACATGAACAGATTGCGACAGGTTGAATATAATGTCTTTTTTATAAGCATTTTTTTAAACATTATACTCATTTAGTTCTTAGAAATGCAAAGTCAGTCCACCGTGAAGCATAGCACGATATTTCTTCTCACCTGCTCTTGTCAGGTTAAAGTGATGTTCAGTTGCATCCTTCCCCTGTCTGTGAATTTAGGACAACATCAAAGCAAGTGTTTCAAAATTTTAAGATTTTAGTTCATTACGGCACAGTGTTTTACACATGCTGTTCTTCAGATCATTAACAAGCTGCTCCGGTGTAGGTTTGGGCTAATCCATGGTTATTTTATGGTTCTTCAAACATAAATGCAGCAGGTAATCAAATAATTATTTGCCCTGCCATAAAGACAAAGATGACATTATGCAACCTTTCGTTAAGCCTAGTCAGCTTATCACAGAGAAAGGCAGAATCTTAAAATGTCCCTTCATACCCACATCCTTAAAATCTTTCCTCTAGACAGTTCTTTGAAAAATGCTGACAAAATATCACAAATATTCATATTAAAATATTAATTTTCATATGTAATTATAGAAACTTCCTGAAAGCTGACAAACTGACAGCTCTGCACATTTAACTGAGCTGTCTCAAACTACTAAGATGGACTAAACATCATATATATGCATGACGGGGTTAGGGTTAGGATATATATATGTGTATAAAAAAAAAAAAAAAACCACCCAGCACGCCCCTGCGGGCGGTTTATCCTTCAAGCTCGGGTCCTCTACCAGAGGCCTGGGAGCTTGAGGGTCCTGCGCAGTATCTTAGCTGTTCCCAGGACTGCGCTCTTCTGGACAGAGATCTCCGATGTTTTCCCGGGATCTGCTGGAGCCACTCGCCTAGCTTGGGAGTCACCGCACCTAGTGCTCCGATTACCACGGGGACCACCGTTACCTTCACCCTCCACATCCTCTCGAGCTCTTCTCTGAGCCCTTGGTATTTCTCCAGCTTCTCGTGTTCCTTCTTCCTGATATTGCTGTCATTCGGAACCGCTACATCGATCACTACGGCCGTCTTCTTCTGTTTGTCTACCACCACTATGTCCGGTTGGTTAGCCACCACCATTTTGTCCGTCTGTATCTGGAAGTCCCACAGGATCTTAGCTCGGTCATTCTCCACCACCCTTGGGGGCATCTCCCATTTTGACCTCGGGACTTCCAGGTTATACTCGGCACAGATGTTCCTGTACACTATGCCGGCCACTTGGTTATGGCGTTCCTGTAGCTCCTGTAGATTTACTGCTGTTTTGCTATTGTCTCTGGCTTACAGTGCACCTGGTCTTCTGTGTATAGACCCAGCCCTTGGTCTGTTGACTGTCTGTGCTGTGATTATCTCTGTCTCTTCGCGTGTCACCACTGGTAGGATTTCTGGATATCAGCCACCTCCTCTATCTGCCGGTGGTACATACCGTGCAGGGGCCTGTCCTTCCATGATGGTTCCTCGTCTCCCTCCTCTTTCTTGGGTTTCTGCTGCCTGAGGTATTCACTGAGCACTTGGTCAGTTGGGGCCATCTTCCCAATGTATTCTTGGATGTTCGTTGTCTCATCCTGGACTGTGGTGCTGACACTCACCAGTCCCCGGCCCCCTTCCTTCCGCTTAGCGTACAGCCTCAGGGTGCTGGACTTGGGGTGAAACCCTCCATGCATGGTAAGGAGCTTTCTTGTCTTTATGTCAGTGGCTTCTATCTCCTCCTTTGGCCAGCCTATTACCCCAGCAGGGTACCTGATCACGGGCAGGGCGTACGTGTTGATGGCCCGGATCTTGTTCTTACATTATGGATATGTGAGTGTGTGTGTGTGTGTGTGTGTGTGTGTGTGTGTGTGTGTGTGTGTGTGATGATGGTCAGGTTATACAATGCCTCGGTGACCTCCACTACACTATGCAGTATAGCTTAACCTTCAAAAGTTTAAACTTAGTGTTACCTGCAGTGTATCAAAGGAAATGTCACAGTAGGTGTAAAAACTTTTATTTTAGAGTCTCAGCTCATACCAACCATTTTCTTTTCTTAAAACAGTCATCAAGACTAACAACGCACGACTGCCGGGATCAAGAAGAACGCAACAAAACCATATGTGGTGTGAGCCAGCCTGTGTATCGCAGTAGATCCTACGTGAGTCATAAAACATCCAGATACCATCCTAACAGACAGAAGTGAAGTTTCACAAATGACCAAGTCTCTGAAACTTCAGTCTTAGCTTCCAGCTTCTCCTCCTTACATCTTTTCTCTTCATCTGTGAATCAGGCCTAACATGTTTTTCATTTCTTCCCACAAAAAGGCAACGTTTCAATCTTCCTTCCATGTCATGCATAATTATGAGTGGAATGACAGGATGTCCATGATAATTGAAGCAAAAAGGTACAACAATCTACTGCATAAACATTTCTCTAAAATATTTACTTTGATATTTACAAGAAATGTCTTTTTCACGCTCAGTGATAATCAAGACTCGAACAGGACCAGCACCCTCACCGAAAGCATCCCGGTGCAATTTGAAATTAAAATGATTTTAACAGTGTAAGTATCACTATTCACATAAAATATTATGTGTATCCTTATGTTTAATCTATTTCTACAAGTCAGTAGTTGTATAATTGTTCAGTGGCATGCTGCGATCATCTTTTCAGGAACCAAGACAGCACTACCTATCTGAACTTCACCTCAGATGAGACTGCACCTAAAGAAATGGACATTACATACAGGGTAAGACAGCGGTCCACAACCTTTTTTGCGCCACGGACCGGTTTAATGTCCAACAATATTTTCACGGACTGGTCTTTAAGGTGTCGCGGATAAATACAACAAAATAGACTGACACGACCAAGACAAAAACTCGGTATTTCGTAAATATAATAATAATCGTTAACTCTGTGTAATTGTGTAGCTTTAGCGTCCTCCTCTCTGCCCCGTAATGCTCTCTGGTTGCCATGGTAACGCGTAAATATTTCTTTCAAAATAAGATCTTACTTTTCCCGTGTTGTAGTTGTGTGTACAACTACAACACGGGGAAAGACCCAGGGAAACAGAGTTAATGATAAAAACACTGAAAACCATACATTTCACACCCGAGCTTCAACTCTCGGGGCCCTGTACCAAATGACTCATGGACCGGTACCAGTCCGTGGCCCGGGGTCGGGCACCGCTGGGGTAAGACACATGACGACTCTGTAACAAGAAACTATCCAACTCAACTGGTGATCAATGATCTCATTGAATACTTTTCCTGTCAAGATGCAGTTTTAAAATCATATTGATCTTCATTTAGTCAGGGTGACACAAAATCACATGTTAGCCTATCAATAATTTGTTTCCAGAGTTCAGGCCCGTTCTTCCATAGACTGGTTCTATAGAGCCAGAAGTATTTTCATAACCCTGTGTATCGCCCCCTGGAGGCCATTCAAAATAATGCAGGTTTAAGGAACTTGGCTTCACTTTTCAGACCCAGAACCTACGTCCACCTTTTATACTGTCTGTGGTTTAGACCAAGCCTCAAGTGGCCATTAGACGAGTTGATGGCTTTCCCGTATTGATTTCAGTTTTCAGCTGATCAATCAAAATTATCGATCATGTTCTTGCTAAACTAAACTAACTGGTTGTAACTGACTGATACAAGGCTGTTATCAGTATTTTCATCTGATTCTCATCAGAAAACTGAATATTTCCACATGTATTTATTTAAAATGACCATTTTGTCTATGACAATTTACAGATAGATAACACTGGTTTTAAGGAGTTTCCTGCAACCATCACCCTGGAATTCCCAACTCAACTGGAGCATAGCTTTGAAATGAAAAGCTATCAAATCTTTGTCAAGGAGGTAATTTTTTGTCTGAACACTGCTGCTCCATATGAAAATATAGAACCTTAAAGCTTACCATACTTTTTCTCTTTAAGAACAAAACACAGTGCACAGCCACTACTAACCACAAATTTAAGGTAAGTACAAGAGATTTAATAAAATATTGAGGTCTTGTAAAATTATTAATACCTTAAAAGGAAGCTGTTGTGCTAATGCTTTTATTTATTCGTGCTTGGACTCTATTAGACTAACTTTACATGACGCACAGTTCAAAGTAATCCTTATCTTATAAATGACTTTGCAACAACCTCTCAATTCATCCTCCATTTAAAACAAGAAGCTTTATCTAATTTTCTTTCCCTTAACCCAACTTTCTGCCCCTCAAAAACAGAAGGTTTGAACAGCTGGTTCTTCTGTATTGACAATATTCGATAAAGCAACTATCAGGGACATCAAACTGAGTGTTTAGAGAATACTTCCAACTGTACTGATGTAATTTAAAACATCATATTAGTATCCACAATTACTGCAGTATATTTATGACAGATGAAGAAGTAATGAAAAGAATAATACGTCTCATTTAAAACATTTTCTTGGGGTTGTGTTACAGAACTGCTTACCAAAAAATAAGTGCGTGGCCATCGTCTGCAACACTTTCAATTTGAAGAACTATGCATCTGCTGAGTTTACACTATCGGGAAAAGTCCACTTTAAAGAAGCCGCACAACAGGCAGCCGTATGTACTAAATACACACAGAATACACATTATACATATATAAAAATAATAAATTACTTAAGATTAATTAATCTGCTCTTACTTTACAGAATGTTGCTTTTCTGAAAAAATACACTGGAGACAGCAGAAAGATTAACTTTGTAAGTTCTGTACATGTTGGCTATGACGACGCTCGGTATGTGCTGAACGATCCAGAGGTATGTTTGATTTTGACCACAGCATATTTCTGTCATTGCTTTTACAGTTAACCTAATTTATTATATCTATTACCCACAGAATAAAGATCATTTGACACCATTCAAATTTCCAACAAAAAAGGTACCTTCAGTCTTTACATGAATAATTATTATAATTATTCAAACTATTTACTAGAGTGATGTTAAAAATGGTAAGGCACTACTTTGAAATCTTGTGTTTTCTCTGCCAACAGACTGAAGTTCGGGTTGATTTCTTTATCCTCCCAAATAAAATGCTGATCATTTTAACTGGAGCCGGTTTGGGACTCTTACTTCTGATCATAATCACAATCATCCTGTTTAAGGTGAGAGTTTATACTCAGCCTGAAGTCTGTTATCTTTATATCAAGTTGTCTGAATCTCCATAACTGCACTGAGATCACCAAATTGCTGTTTGGTCTAATGATTCTCTTTGTGTCTGTCACAAGCTCGGTTGCTTCAAGAGGAAAAAGTTTGGAGAAGATGATCTTGAGGATGACACTGTTGTAATACCAATCCCTGCTTCAACTGTAGGGACTGATAAGAAATCTGATAAATCTTCCAATGATAATCAAACGCAGGAAAAATCACCTCTCATCTCCTCTGCCCCCGATGATGAACAGATCAAGCAGTCAGGCACTGATAACAAATCTGATCAACCTTCTGAGGAAAATAAGGTTCATGATGATGGTGCTGCTGAGGAGAAAAAGGATGAAGCTACTGTTACCATTAACGCATAAAGTCAAGGAGGATTTGGAATATATGGAACATTTGTTAGTCTTAGTGACAGTTTAGCATAGTTCAGACTGGACACAAGTAGAAAACGTGATTTAGGGGTATGATCTGGGTCTGTGTCCCAGATGACCCCCCCATATTTTTTAATTCTCTTATTATTCTTCATGAGTTGCACGTCACGTATGGTTTAATCTTTGGATGAGAGAGCTTTAACCTGCATTTCACAGTGATTTCTGTTAGGGTTCCTGAGCTCATACACTGATGCCAGAATCATGCCATGCAGCATATAGGTTTATGAGATTTACAAATCAGTGCATTCTATTTCTACTTTTTACAGTACTCTTACTGTTTCTGAATTAGGTTTTTACATCTCATGCAATAATTGTGGGTTCAGCTACATCAGTGAAAAATCAATGACACCAGACATGAAGCTGAATAAGCATCAGATGGTTTGGCTTTCTACAAATGTTCAATGGTCACAGCACAGGAAAACATCAGCGAGTTTGTAGACACCTCCATGAAGGAGGCTGTTCATGCCAGACACAAGAGGCAAGCACTTCTGTTTAATATTCTGTTGAGATGTGACTAAAGAGTCATACCTGTAGCAATCCATAGTTCATGCAGAAACCCAAGGTTTAATAATTATTGTTCATGTGACTGTTTAACACAACTTATTTAACACGCTTAATAATTCCTTTTCTGCTAATGTCAATAGCCTACCATGTATTCCCCATTAATGCACATTATTTACATTTTGATACACTGTAATATTTTTAATAGTTACCACCTATATGAAAAGGCTCTGCTGCCTTCTGCACAGGTATTTATTCAAAAAGCACTTCACCTTGTATTATATCTGACTGTGTTTAATATGTTGATTTTTGTAGAGTAATTAAAATTTTGAATAATTGATTCTGATCTCACTAAATGAGTTAATGTGAGTGAGAAGATCTTTAGTTCGTTACAGACATGAAAGTTAGGTAGACAAAAGTGTTGATAATAAAAAGTTTGCAGCTGGATTGACAATAAACTTCATAAATTATGGCGAGTTTAAATCTGAGATTACATCAGATATTTAGAAATTGTGGATGATGTTGGCAAAGTAAGAAACCAATTTTAAATGTAGAAAATGTAAATGAAATGTAGATATTAAAGGGTGGAAAACAACATGTTCCTTTAATTTCCCTAATATTTTTAGTCTACTGTTGTTTGCATATTTGTACTTTTAGTTTGCTTTTCCGTGTTTTAAATGTCTTGCCTTTTGTACACTGTTAATTTTCATTGGAATATATCCTAAGATCTGTATCCATGTGAACATGAATTATGACTTTTTTTCTTTTTAAAAGAAATAATGTATCTTAGTAAAAGTGAAATAATGTTTGTAAGATAAACAGATGCACAAACCACCTTTGTATCTGCAAATGAATAAAGACAATTTCCCATGTCATATATGCACTGACATGTGAACTGGAGGTGTTATCTCAGGTGTCAGACTGACTAAATCCTTAAACCACATGATTTTGGTAAAATATCTGGATATTTTTAGATACAGATATAGAAAACTCAAACTGTTTCCTTCTCTCGCTCTGTCCCCTGGTATTCTTCTGAACTTGGCCAACTCATGATATGGTCAATTGTTCTACCTGCAGTTTTGTCTCCTACTCAGCTGTCTTCCTCTCTAACAGTTTTGAACTTCCTACAATAATTCAGCTGTCATCGTGTAAACTTGACCCACTAATCTTGTTGAACTTTCCCTCCCCTCTCTTGGCTCGTTGATAGTTAATATCGCACACTCCTCTCTTATCTCTGGTTCTGTTCTATCCTCTCTTAAAACTGCAATAATAACTCCAGTTTTGAAAAAGAATGGTTCAGACCGTACCGTTTTAAATAATTTCAGGCTAATTTCAAATTTGCCCTTCCGAGCCAAAACTCTCGAAAAAATAGTGGCTGTGCAGGTTCATATACACCTCACTGGAAATAACTTGTATGAAGTTTCTTGTTGTTTTTTTATACTTGTTTACTTGTAATACTTGTTTTTTATTTGCCTTTTGGATTCACCAATGCCCTTGCTGTTTTCCAGGCATTAGTTAATGATGTCTTTTTTGAACATATTTGTATTTCTCAGCTTATATATATGGACACAGCAAGGTCTTTGAGAAAAAAAATGAGAATGTCATCTGTCCATATCTATGTGAAGGTCAAGAAATGGGAGTTTCACACACTGCTGTCAGATCTCCATCAAACAGGGAACTTGAGGATGAGACATATGAAGCAGACAAATTGGGCTACTGACTGTTTATTCTGCATTGATCTGAGGATAGAAAACAGAATATATTAGTGCAGTCACTAATTTCATCCCTTCTGTGTGCTTAATTTTCCATTAATGTGGCGTAATGATATCAAAGCTGAGTCTTTTTTTTTTTTTAAATAAACATACATTTTAATACGAATAAGCAGAATTCATAAATAAGGGAAATGGTTTTCAGTACTGAATTTTTTCAGGCTTTCGTTTGTAGTTTGTTGTTAGAGTTTATTAATAGAAAAAGAAGAACTGCGTTTATCAGAATGTAGTATTGAAACTGTAAAATGATGACTGAGCCTTTTATTGGCTTTTTCTAATGTGCCTGAATTCTTACACGAGGCAGAGCAAAATATTTTAGCCTGGATAGCTGTTGACCTGATTAAGTGATGTTACACTAAATCAGATTATTTAATGAAAAAGTGTAAGGTCTTAAAGAAGATTTATTTATTGGGAGTGAATCTCATCTATACTTTTATTACTTTTTTCGTTGGGCAAACTAATTCAAATGAAAATGTGAGTGTATGGTGCTGAAGAGAGACTCTAATAATCTGAATAAACACTGTCATCTTAAAGGCCTTTAACCCTCTCAAGGCAGGCGTTGCCGATTTGCAACAGTTAAAAACTAACAACCTGATTCCCCCACATACATATTTTATAGTTTTTTTCTTTACTCAGAAGTATCACTACAGGACTTGGTTGTGCATTAACAACAAAAAGTTTAATTTGATCATGAGAGGGTTAAACAGAAAGAGCAAAACCTTGCACATGCATTTTCCCTTTTGAGCAAGTTGCCCTGCAACAACAGGAGATACTTACCGGTAGATCTTTTTTGTCCACTTTTTTACATTCAAAATCTTTTCATTAGAGAAAATAACAGAAACAGTTCTGCATGTGCCACTGAATTCAAGGCCACTATTATTTCAAGCCACTAAAATGTGCTGAACATTTATAAAACTGATTCAAAGTCTGGATTTTTAAAAATTACTGGCCAAAACCTCCACAGATGAACCTGCACTGATGTTCACAACTACTACATAACTGTGATATATGTACCACACTTTCTGTGTCTCAATGTAGTAACTGTCACAGTGACTGAAAAAACTTTTATTCTAGAGTCTCAGCTCATACCAGCTTTTTCTTTTTTCTTAAAACAGTCTTTGAGAGCGACACCTCGCATCTGCAATGCTCTGGAAGGAGTATTCAACACAACCGTGTGTGGTTTGAGCCTTCCTGTTTATGGCAGCAGATCCTCTGTGAGTCATACTGCAAGCAGATGCCCTCCTAACAGACAAAATCAAGTTTCACAAACGCAAAACTGAAACTTTCGTTTTAGCAACCGGCGTCTGCTGTGTAGAAATTCTCATCTATGAATCAGGTACAACGTCTTTGTCATTTCTTCGCACAAAAACACGACGATTGAATGTTCTTTCCACGTCTCTGTAACAACTGCTGCAAACAGGTACTACTGTCCAACATAATACAAAGGCAAACATTTTCTCTAAAATATTTACTTTGATTTTTAAAGCAATACCTTTTTCATCCTCAATGATAATTAAAACTCCCACAGGACCAGCATCCTGACCAAAGATCATGGCAAAATATGAAATTAAAGTAAACAGTATCAGTATTCGCACACTGCATCTGTTTTAGCATTACATATAGGATAAGACACTTAATTACTCTACAGCAAGACACCGTCCACCAGACCTGATGATCAAACGTAACAGAATACTTTTTATGTAAAGCTGCGTTTTTAAAATGCTCTTCACTGATTATTATTTAGTAATTAATGTATGTTTGAAGACACTTTTCAGGAGCATGTTCGAGCAGCCATTGCACTTGTCATTAACTTTGCCATTCTGCTATTATGTGGTGGCTAGGTACTATAAAGCAAAAAAGGCAGAAAAAAAATCCTACAACACATGGAAGATGTCATACGGCTGTGTGGCAGGCAGGATGTAGGACCCAAACGCAAGACACTCAGACATAGGAAAAAACACTCAAAGAGGCTGCTTTATTGCAGTGCAAAAAACTCCATAAAAACAAACACACAAAAAACAAACCCAAACTACAAACTGGAAACTGATAATAAACACTAGGAAACCTGGAACGAGAGACTAGGGACGCGGATCACAGGGAGCACGGAGGGAACCACACACAGCATGACGAGGGTACGACGTGACACAGAGCAAGGAAAACACAGGTCTTAAACACACTGAGGGACACCGAGTGAATGAGACACAGGAGAAGAGCAGAGCTGGGAGTAATCAAACATGATGAGACATGGGTAAAGCAAAAGTAGAAACACTGACATAAGACAAGGGACCGTCAAAGTAAAACAGGAAGTATAACACAGAGACGTGGACTTAATGATAATACAAAATCAAAACACTGGGTCACCGACCCAGGACCGTGACAGAAGGGTTTTAATATGATGTTTATGTGATCCACTAAAGTGAAACTTAACACTATATTTTGTGAGAGGGGTCTGGAGGTGACTTTTATTACCTTTGGACAGGTAACAGAAACTGGAACAGACCAATCTCATTTTTAGCTCTACAACTCCAGGAAAAAGATGCCACATAAGAGATGACCTTTATGTCTTTCTGCTACTTAGCGCTAAAAGACGAGAAGATGAATAAATCATTAGAATTTTCTTCGCCAAAACTAAATTACAAACTTGTTGGACACACAAAACAAGCCACATCATATTATTATTATTATTATTTAAATCACGAGCGTTACCAGTGAGTATACTCTGGATAATGTTTCTTTCTGACTCTAAGAATGACCAAAAATTACCCAAAAGTGGGCTCAATGTTTTATTCATTGTGATATGAAATGAGTGACAGAGCCCATAAACTCATCACCAAAGTGTGTGAATGTCAGATTTAGTGCTATGTATTCATCAGTTGGTTCCAACTATAGCTTTTATAATGGCTCTTTGAAGAGACTGTAGTTGTAAAATCATGCTGTTAACAGTGACGTGTGATCTGCGTTTACTTGTTTAGCTCAAGCCTCTTTAACCCTTAACCTGGCAAAGTGCGAGTTTGGGAAAGCTGTCGACATATCTAGGTAAGCAGGTTGGACAGGGGCAAATTCGTCTCATAACTGCATAAATGGATGCAATTCTGTCCCACCCTACACCCAAGAGATGAACTCTCTTGTTTTGGGCGGTTTCTAGGTCTAGCTGACGATTACAGGTGTTTTTGCCACAACTTCTCTGTGGTAGTAGAGCCACTCACCACTCACACCATTGTTCTTAATATATCTTCTCCCCCTCCAGCACATAATGGGCTCTTTTGAGGACATCTCTTATCACTGTTATGCTGATGATATTCAGTTGTACATCTCTTTAAGCCACAGGATTTATCTAAGCTTCAGCTTTTAAATGACTGCTTAAATTCTATCAAACGTTTGATGGCTGTAAATTTCCTCCAACTCAACCAGGGGAAAACTGAAGTCCTCATATGTGCTCCGGACAGATTTGTATCCCAGATAGTGAAAGCCCTTGGTCTTTTTTCTGTGTATGTTAAATCCTCTATCAGGAATTTAGGTGTCACTTTTGACTCGACTCTTACATTGGATGGGCATGTGAAATCTCTGGTTCGGTACATTTTAAGATCCTGGTCTTGACATTTAGAGCCTTGCATGGACTGGCACCTCCCTACATCTCCGATCTGCTACAGCCCTATGTCCCTAGCAGGTCCCTGAGGTCATCTGATCAGGGCTTACTTGCTATAAAACAGGCTAAAATGAGAACTAATGGCGACAGAGCTTTTGCCACCGTGGCCCCAAGACTGGAACTCTCTCCCCCAAACATTAAGAACTGTGGACTCAGTAGTTGTTTTTAAAAGAACAACTCAAAACTCACCTTTTTAAAACTGTGTTTGGTTAAATTTCTGCCTGTTTTATATTGTCTGTTTTACCCTTTTATTATTTGTTATCTTATGTGCAGCACTTTGTGATTCTGTCTAGAAAGGTGCTATAGAAATAAAAATGTATTTATTTATTTATTTATGTACAATCACAACCAGAGGTTGATCCTGATCAGATGTGTTCTTCCATAGACTTCTACAATATCGGAAGTCTTTATAACCTCATGTATCATCCCCTCTGGGAGGAAAAGATGACTTGATGCTTGTTTAGTCTCCAACAAGTTAACAGGTTGGCAGCTGAATTTTCTATGCAGTTCAGTGTTGACCCCAAAACCATTTGGGAAGAGAAGGGGTTGAAGATTTGATTGTTTTATCATGCTCTTAATGAAACGAGGAAGAATAATCACGCCTCAAGATATTCAAAGATTCAAAGCATTCATTGTCATGTGTACCAATAAAAAGCATTTCTCTGTACAATGAAATTCTTTCTCTGCTGTCCACACACAGATGCCGGTTAATATGTACAATAGATAGAATACATATCACATACAACGAGAACGCATCAAAGCAACTGAAAATGTGGAGGAAACATATAAAAGTACAGTTATTTCTAATATACAAGTGCAGTGAAGGAGTAAATTTGAACATCTCGAAAATGCATTTAATTGGTTCCTTAAAATCTCAACAATTTCTAATCTACCTAGTGACAGCTCAACCAGAAACAGTCCCAAAATTGTCCATTTCCAAAGTTGATAAAATTCCCCTTCAAGCTCCTACACTAAGCCATGTGATTATGCCATGCGAGGGGGGAGGGGTTGTCTTTAAAAAAAAGCAAAAAAAAAGACCAAGCTTGAACCAGTGTACCAAAGTAGATCATCAATGATTATGATTGAAACCCTAGTCCCGTTCCAAAACCTTAAACGTTTGTTTTGGAGAATAGAAAATGAAATTTCTTTCTAATAAAATGAAGTGTTTTTGATGAACAGAGAAAACCATGTAAGTGACTGCTCATCTTGTACTTAAAGTTCAGTTTAAAGGGCTATTTCATTATCATTTGAATGTATATTATTTGTGTCAGATCCTTGTATTGAGTTCCCTTAAAGACAATGGAAATGCCAAAACATTGGACACATTAGTGATGTCAGCTGCATTTATGATATCCTAATTATTAATTATATGATGTCTTTATTTCAATGTGTAGAACATATCGTTTTATGAGTTAAGAGTTGGATGTTTGAATAACAAGGAGAGTATTTCTTAGTAATGTAAAATGTGATGGAGTGGGTGTTTGGTTTCTCCTATGTCGAGATCCAAACTTTAAATAACTGCACAGCTATTATTTTAAGGGTTCGGCAGATGCTTTCGATTATATGAGCTCTAAAATTTCGGGCGACCGTGGCTCAGGGGGTTGGGAAGCGTATCTGTAACCGGAAGGTTGCCGGTTCGATCCCTGGGCTCTCTGTCCTGGTCGTTGTGTCCTTGGGCAAGACACTTTACCCTACCGCCTACTGGTGTTGGCCAGAGGGCGCGTAATGGCAGCCTCGCTTCTGTCAGTCTGCCCCAGGGCAGCTGTGGCTACAACCGTAGCTTGCCTCCACCAGTGTATGAATGTGAGAGTGAATGAATAGTGGCATTGTAAAGCGCTTTGGGTGCCTTGAAAAGCGCTATATAAATCCAATCCATTATTAAAATGATATTTTATGATTTTTTTAAATGATTTTTTTTTCACATAATGCATATATAAGAATAATATGTCCTGTGCTTAGTAAATATGTATAGAATGAACCTAGAACTGAAACAAACTGAGTTTGTTTAGAAACGAATGAATTGCACTGATATTGTGAAGATTCACTGATGATTTTGAAATGCAAAGCTTGCATCTATGAACAACAGTCTGGGAAAATAATTATATTTGTGGTAATGGAAAATTATAATTCCACCATATGTCCTTTAGTACTTTTAGATGCTTTAAAAAAGTAAAAGATTTAACACTGAGATATTTGTGGTTTACTCAGTGTATATCTAACTGACATATGCAGTATGACAAGCTGCCAGCAGATGATCCCTGTAAAGGACTAGTACAATAGTCTCATGATGTCAGTATGATAAGAAGGACACCTCAATTCCAATTACATTTTGCGTAATAAATTAGGATATTTATATTCCGTTGAATTCCGTTTTCCAAATTTTGCCAGACATAAATGGGACATAAACGTTGTTTTTACTGCCTTTTACTGTATATTTCATTTAACTCTTAGCTGTTATATGCCTGTTAAGGGGATGAAACTCATTTGTTTTGCTCAGCTGTGGAAGAAGATGAACGTGTGGAGCGCTGACACCCTGTAGTCTCATACAAATTACACGGATGCTTGCAATAACTGCATATAGACCACTTTCACTCGAGGGGTGTGTTTGGAGTAAAATGCCAAACAAGGGACGTTAGGCTGCGTTGCATGCTGGGAAATAATTTTGTTGCTAGGAGACCGTAAACCTCATTCGGTGACGGTACAGCGCTTTGTAGCTAGTTTGACAAAGCTCTAAACACTAAGGCAGTTTAATTATTAATTTAAGAGAACAATAAGATATTCTGGTGCTGAATATTTGATTCGATAGCCTGCTTAAACACAAGGTGACTGCAATCACATCACTGTCATCAGGCATCAACGAAGTTGAAAACGTTTTCTAACTTAACGGTAGGTTCAGTACAGGCCAACTGTCAGTTCGCTTCGACGTTTGCCAGCGTTTTAAGTACGCGACTTTAGCTAGTTGCATCACACTGTGCACTTGCTTTTTGCACTTCCTGTCCTCTTGTCCTTTTACTCTCTCAGGGACGAGAATATGGACTCAACTGCGAGGGGCGCGCAGCCGAGCCTCCCTGCCCAAAGAAGTGCTAGTGGCTCCCCAGGTGGGTACATCCATTATTCAGTTCATTTGTGTTCATACAGCGCCAAATCACAACAACCGTCGCCTCAAGACGCTGTATATTGTAAGGCAAGGCAAGGCAAGGCAAATTTATTTGTATAGCACAATTAAACAACAAGGTGATTCAAAGTGCTTTACAGAGACATTAGAAACAAAAGTAACCTAGTCAGTTTTGAAGATTAACAATGGCTAACACTGAGCAGTGCTGATTTTCTAACACTGGAAAATAATATTCCAGTGTTAGAAAATCAGCACTGCTCAGTGTTAGCCATTGTTAATCTTCAAAACTGACTAGGTTACTTTTAAACATATAACACTGTCAAAAGTGTTAATTTAACACTCAACAGTGTTGTATTTAACACTCAGAGGTGTGGACCCATATAGACACTCTCCAGTGTTAATTTAACACTGGAGATTTTGCTGTGTTTCGCGCATCTGAACCCTTATCGTAAGGGGAGCTACCAGTCCTTCTGTGGACGAGCTACTTTCTATTTTAAATTCCCTGAATTTAAAATACTCTCTAGACCCAGTCTAGACCCAGCTGGGGAGCTACCCAGAGCTCTAAACCCACTTAACAAACAAACAAACAAACAAACAAACAAACAAACAAACAAACAAACAAAAAACAAACAAACAAACAAACAAACAGTATATAAAATCAAAACAGATAAAATCAGAACAGTAGATAAAATCAGTAGTTAAATGTAAGTTTTGAAATTTAAGCTTAAAAGTGTGGATTTGGTGCTTTATTCAAATGCAGCTGAGAACAGGTGAGTCTTCAACCTGGATTTAAATAAACTGAGTGTTTCAGCTGATCTGAGGCTTTCTGGGAGTTTGTTCCAGATATAAGGAGCATAAAAGCTGAATGCAGCTTCTCCGTGTCTGGTTCTGACTCTGGGAACTGATAAAAGACCGGATCCAGATGACCTGAGGGATCTGGAAGGTTCATACTGGGTCAGGAGGTCACTGATGTATTTTGGTCCTAAACCATTCAGAGCTTTATAGACCAGCATCAGGACTTTAAAGTCTATCCTCTGACGGACAGGCAGCCAGTGTAAAGACCTCAGAGCTGGACTGATGTGGTCCACTTTTTTGGTCTTAGTGAGGACTCGAGCAGCAGAGTTCTGAATGAGCTGTAGTTGTCTGACTGATTTTTTAGGTAGACCTGTAAAGATGCTGTTACAGTAATCAAGCCTACTAAAGATGAATGCATGGACTAGTTTTTCCAGGTCCTGTTGAGACATCAGATCTTTTATCCTTGAAATATTCTTGAGGTGATAGTAAGCTGATTTTGTTATTGTCTTAATGTGTTTTTCTAAGTTTAGGTCTGCATCCATCACTACACCCAAATTTCTCGCCTGGTTTGTGGTTTTTAGGTGTATAGATTGAAGTTCTCTGGTGACCTGTAATCGTTTTTCTTTGGCGCCAAAGACTATTACTTCAGTTTTGTTTTTGTTTAGTTGGAGAAAATTGTGGCACAACCAGTCATTAATTTCCTCAATGCATTTACCAAGAGCCTGTACAGGGCCTCGGTCTCCTGGTGACATTGTGATATATATTTGTGTGTCATCTGCATAGCTGTGATAGTTTATTTTGTTGTTCTTTATAATCTGTGCCAGTGGGAGCATGTAAATGTTAAACAGAAGGGGTCCCAAGATGGAACCTTGGGGAACTCCACATGTGATACTTGTCTGCTCAGATGTGAAGTTACCTATTGATACAAAGTATTTCCTGTTTTCTAAGTATGTTTTGAACCAGTTTAGTACAGTTCCTGAAAGACCTGCCCAGTTCTCCAGTCGTTTGAGTAATATGTTGTGGTCAACTGTATCAAATGCTGCACTGAGATCCAGTAAAACTAAGACTGACATTTTTCCACTGTCTGTATTCAGACATATGTCATTGAACACTTTGGTCAGAGCGGTTTCAGTGCTGTGGTTCTGTCTAAAACCTGACTGGAAGGCATCGTAGCAGTTATTCTGTTTTAAGAAGTAATGAGCTGTTGAGAAACTGCTTTTTCAATGATCTTACTTAAAAATGGGAGATTTGAGATCGGCCTGTAGTTGTTCATTTGTGTCTTGTCAAGATTGTCCTTTTTCAGTATAGGTTTGATTACAGCAGTTTTTAGTGGTTCTGGAAACACACCTGACATTAAAGAAAAGTTGACGATCTGTAACAGGTCTGACTCTAAAGTCTTTGAGACCTTTTTGAAAAAACTTGTTGGCAGGACATCTAAACAGCAAGAGGAGGAGTTCAGTTGACCTAAGATGTCCTCCAGGTCTTTGCTGTTAATAGGGTGAAACTGTTTCATGGTGTTTAAACAGTTTTTCGGTGGACACAGTACATATCCTGGATCTGCTGTTGATGTACCAATGCTTGTCTAATCTTTTGGATTTTTCTGTGAAGAATTTGGCAAAGTCATTGCAGGCCATGGTTGAATGAAGTTCAGCTGCCACTGGCACAGGAGGGTTTGTTAGCCTGTCAACTGTAGAAAATAAGACCCGAGCATTATGGCTGTTTTTAGTGATGATGTCAGAGAAGTAGGACCTTCTTGCACTCCTCAGTTGTAAATTATAATTGTGAAGAGAGAAAACCCCAACAATCAGACGAATCCTTGAGCGCAAACACTTGGCGACAGTAGGAAGGTAAACTCCCCATTTAACAGGAAGAAACCTCCGGCATGACCAGGCTCAGGGAGGGGCGGCCATCACAAGAGTGTGAGAGTGTGGGGAGTGAGACAGAACAAAACACGGGCTGTGGAAGAGAGACAATAATAACCAATGAATAAATGCAGAGTGGTGTATTTAAATAAGGTGAATGAAGAAGAAACACTAAGTGCATTGTAGGAAGCCCCCAGCAGCCTTGGTCTACTGCAGTATAACTAAGCAGGCTTCAGGGTCACATGATCCAGCGCTAAACATATGCATTGCAAAAATAAATGACAGTTTTTAAGTCTAATCTTAAGAGTAAAGAGGGTGTCTGTGTCCTGAATCCAAACTGGGAGCTGGTTCCATAATAAAAGGGTCTAAAAGCCTTAAAGGTCTAAAAGGCTAGTCTCCTGTTTTACTTTTAAATATCCTAGAAACCTACAAGTAAACAACCAGTCTGACAGCAAAGTCCTATGGTCCTATGATGCCTTTAAGATAAGATGGGGCATGATTATTCAAGACCTTGTATGTGATCAGAAGGAGTTTAAATTAAATTCTCAATTTAACAGGGAGCCAATGAAGAGAAGCTAATGCAGGAGAAATATGCTTAATCTCTCTAGTGCCTGTCAGTACTCTCACTATAGCATTTTGGATCAACTGAAGGGGTTTCAAAGCTTTTAGTTAATGAATTACAATAGTAACAAATATTTCTGGCACAACTACACCTACTGCATGGAGAAGATCTAATAACGCAGAGACTGCAACACTTAAAAGTAATGAGAAACAACTTTATTAAGTGACCAACACATTTCGGCTTGTAGCCTTCATGAGGTCATTGTAAAATGTAAAACAGTTTGTGTTTAAGTAAAAGCCAGGAAAGAGAAAACAATTTCAAATGGATAATTAAACCTTCACAAATAAACCAGCTGACCAACTGACATTTAACGAGGTGGTATTGGTCATTTAGTTAAGTCACAGCCCAACTCACAGCCTTCGATTCTGGACTAAACCATTAAAGATTAAAAGGGGAGGGAAAAAATCCCCACATGTCTTAACGTAATACATACTCAAAATTACACAGAAAGATGCAAATAAGTTAATATAAAGAATAAAAAAAGATAAAATTTAAAAGTAAATATAAGTACAGGAACATTAAAAGAGGAAGACGATGGAAAAATGTAGTTAAAAAATCAGTTGGTCAGTTGGTCACTGAATAAAGTTGTTTCTCATTACTTTTGCTTGTGTAGTGTTGCGGGAGTCTCCGCATCAAATTAATTACAATAGTTCAGCCTAGAAGTAATAAATGCATGAAGTAATTTTTCAGCATCACTCTGAGCAAGAATGTTTTTAATTAAAGGGATCTTGCGTAAATGCAAGAAAGCAGTCCTACATATTTGCTTAATATGCACATTGAAGGACATTTCCTGGTCAAAACTCCAAGATTCCTCCCAGTGTTACTGGAGCCCAGGTAATGCCATCCAGAGTAAGAATCTGGTTAGACACCATTTCTAAGATTTCTATCTGAATTTAGAAACAGGAAATTAGAGGTCATCTAGGCCTTTATGTCTTTAAAATTATAGTGAGTGACATATAACCAGTAAGTCTCGGGTAGTCAACCTCTTTTGCAAATGTTAGGAATAAGTTTGGTTTCTACTTGATACTGTCACAGAGCTGCTGCAAAAGCTTCCTGAACTACAGAAGCCCCCTGACCCACCAAAGCCTCCATTCAGAGATCCCCAGGTGAGGCTTGGCTTATTAAGTTCAAATGGTAGATGGTATGAAATCCAGTTTACTGTATACCCAGTGTCATCCATGGGAGTTTTTGCTTATCCATAAAATAAATGAAATGTTAGGGGCTTTTGTATGTCTTTTGCTTTCCTTACATGTAGGGTGTGTTGAAGAGATGTGTAAAACGAAACGAGCCCAGTGTCCTACATTTAAAAGCTCGCGAAGAGATGATTTTTCCAGGTTGGTACACAGAGCCACAGCCATCTAAAAGTCTGGAGCAACGGTGCCGTGAAGTTATCGACCTAACTTCTCAGCCATCCTCTAAAGATGCCACTGACCAACAGGTATTAGACGAGAATATGTATGAAAAAAGCCTACTATTAAAATTGCAAGAGTCAACGATCTGCAATCTTCAGCTCCCCATTCTGCCGCTTTTATACATATTTAGCTGCTAGAGTAGTTTTGTAATGCAGTGCTATTAAGCTGGTTCAACAAAATATTTTATGTGATTATAGGTAATGCTGTCAGTTTTTGTTTTCCCTTTTATACTATTTTTTTATTACATGTTGGTTGTAGTTCATTCAGTTTTTTATGAAACAATGCCATTGAGTGACATGGAGGCGAAATCATCAGATTTCTGTCTTTTTGCTAAAGGTTTTGTTGTTTTGGTTTTTTTACTCATCCTTTCAACCCTGAACCATGAAGTAATTGACAAATTTAAACCAAATGTTTTTTTTAATTGCATATAGTTTGCATGTATGAGCTTTAATTTGTATCATATTTACTACATCAGCATTTGTGGCAATTTGTTGCTTAATACTGTGTTGTACAATTTATTTAGTTTGGTTTGTTTGGGTTTTTTTTAGAAGGTGCCTCTTACAGTGATAATGTAAACGTCTCAAAACTATCAAATATTCACCTGGGATTAAGGGTTTAAGTTTAAGGGATTCATTCTGCCTGGTTTCTGGGCTAAAACTGTATCCAACTATGCATTGCTTCACTTTTTGGAATTGCATTGTCTGCACAAGGGGCCACAGGCTTAGCTCAGTGGGTGAACAGGTGACCATATTCCACATAGCCAGAGTGTAGTGGCGCAAGAACAAGTCCAACCATTGGGCCTTTGATGGGTGTCTTCGCCCTCTGTCTCCCCACGTTCCTGTCCCCCAGTTTGTTTTCACTGCTGAGCTATCCAATAAAGGCATAAACATGCCCTATTTTATGAAATCATGTGAATGCAATAACTGAAAAGGAAATCACTGAGGATGTATGTCATAGCTGCATCTACTAGGAGGCTGAGGGGTTATTCTGGTGGCTGCCAGTGTTTATATATTTAACAGTACACGCTTTGAGTTTTTTTAATCAAATCCAGATGAAATATTAACACTCATTCTTCTACATTTTTGTGTGCAAACTTTGGTTTTCACCAGTTCTGCACTTTGGAATGATTTAGTATATTTCAACAGCTTCAACATGTTCCTTAAATAATTCAATAATTACAGCAGTTCAACTCAAACCATTCAGCTTTCAGCATTCACACTGCATTTTCTTTAGGAAGTTAGTCAAGCTATCGTTATAAATCTTTTCACATCCATAAAAGAATCAAACTGTTATGAGCTTATGCAGTTTTATGCTTACCTTTAATGTAGGTTGTGCCAAAGAGACTTGTGAGACCTAAGAAACCAAGTCTCCAACACTTAAAAGCCTCTGAGCAATCATCCACACCAAAAGATCTGAAACAAAGGCACCATGAAGCTGTCCACCTACCTCCTCTGCCATCCACTAAAAATGTCCAACAGGTATGAGAAGTTACTAGGTATGATTTTAAAAAAGCTTGCCCTTTAAAATATTGTGTGACCAGCCCTTGTCTGATGTCGCAAGCATTGCACACACAGTACAGAAAGTACTCTAGTCTAGTATTTATAAGTTAAAGTTAGTTAAAGTAAATACTGTGTCATAAAAGAGGTCCCTTGACATATTCAGGCAGCTTGATAATGTAGCGGTAACACTACACACCTTTGGAGTGGGAGTCGGAAGTTCGATTCCCACCCAGTATCCATTAAGTAAGGGTCCTGGTTAGACCTCCCATGCTAAAAACCAAGCCCTGGAATGGTGTGGCTACTTCTGCAGCCTGTCAGCAGCTCAGACGCGAAACATTTCACTGCGTATCGTACTCTGTATGATTGTGTAGGTGACAAATAAAGCTTGTTTGAGGAATTTGTAATCATGGTAGCATATTTTACATTAAAAAGCAATATAGTGCTGTAGTACATCAGTAAACAATATCTATAGTGTACAGTGAATAGGTAGTTCCAAAATATGTCTAAAGCAATTTTCTGTCATAATTGCCACTATAACTGGAAAACTTAACTTCTCTCTTCTTTTCTCAGCCCTTAAAGGGTGTGATGTCAACCCCTCCTCTCCCAAGGCTTCCCATTAAGAGTTATATACAGCGGGACTATACTTCCAAATCTCAACTTAATGAGTACCACAGTACTGACTTTGTTTTGACTGACAGTCAAACTGTGATTTCGGAGTCTGATGGTGATGATGCAGGACTGCTAATTGTGAAGCGCTGGGAAAAGAACGTGTGCAAGCTGCGATGCATCCCCTTCTTTGCACGCTACAGACTATGGAAACCTTTCTATGTCTGGCACAGAAATGTTCGTGCCAACAAGATGACTTTGGCCAGGGAGTCACTACAAAAAAATTTGTTTATTGTCATCCCGGTATGTGCATGTGCAAACTGAAGTCTGTTTTTAGTGATCTCTAAATATTTTCAGAGAGAGAAAGCCTTTGAATTATACAGATTTTAATAAAAGTGTGGTTCTTTTATCATGTTCTTTACATTTGTCTATGTTAATCAGAATCTAAGTCCTGCACTGATGGATATTAGGAAAATGTGCTGCCAACTTATTGAAACAGGCTTTTGTCACATGAAGAAAAAGTATGCATACACACTGCAGGAATTCCAGGACAGTAAGATCAAACAACTACAAGAGGTGCAGTTGTATAAGAACTTTCATATATATATATGTGTATGTGTATGTATATACTGATATTGTCTGTTTCATTACATTGGTTATAAGGTTATTATTACATTATTGCTTTCTTTCTTATTATCAGGCATACAGCGACCTGAAGGGGTTTCATGAACTAGTAAAGGAGGAGACAGTTTATACCTGTGGCCGCTACTTGATGGATGCTAAAGCTCGTGTTGGTGCGTACATGATGTGGATACTGTTTAAGACACATGCTGGTGGCCACGAACTAATTGCCACTGTGGCTATATAAGCCACATAGGTTAACCTTGGCTTGAAGACCTTTCTGAGCAGGTTGGAACTGGAGAGATAGTCTCTTCACTCTGAGAATCTGGGTTACAATGTAACCAACTGTTCTCTTTCATCTCTCTGTCTTACATATTTCATATGTAAGAGTCCATATGAACTCCATGTGTCCATAGGCTTATGTGGATTCTGTATAATTCAAAGACTTCCTTCAGTGGACTCTGTAAGACACCATGAGGAAACCAAGCATATGCAGCTGTTCAGGCAGTTCAGGCATTAGGCTAGACCCCTGCTAGCCACATGGGCACGATCTGGGCCTAAGTAATGCACACACTTACCATGGCCACCCTCTATAGGCATATTTATTCCACAACTTAAATAGGTGTCGTCCACTGGGCTAGCCATATTCTGTCTGGGAAATGTGCTGGAGTAATTTGGGTAACAATCACACGTCATATACTTAATGTTATACAGGTTCTAAAAACTATGGGTGTGATGCAGTTTTCTGTCGCTGCGACTGTTGAAATGTGACTCTGAGAGTCAGGTAGCAATTGCCAACAGCACAATGTTTTTTTGTAACTGTCTGGTGAGTTGGATAGGATGAATGAAAGCAGCCTGACTTTTCCTCTGACTGGCCAGATTTCATGTGGTAAAAATGGCTACGACAGCAGGTTGGTGAAGCACCCAAGCTTTTCACTAGTTTGTGTAGGGGGAGACAACAGCCATCTCTGGAGAGGTCGCGGTGACCAGCTCTCTTCTTACAATTTAAGCAGACATGCTGATGTTACGCACACTACACGCATTATAGGTACTTAAAGAGTATCCATGCTGCGCTGTGGGGATGTAGGTTGCAGAGATAGTCTTGACACAATAGAGAAAGTTGATTTGTATATCCAGATGTAGATCACAAAATTCAAAGCCTGTTCATGCTCGGTTTGTCACAGAACAAGAAAAGAAGATCGCATCAGGGACCAACATGTCTTTTTTCTTCAACCACGTCATCCAGTGGGTGCATTTTATTTCTGTCTTTGCTTCCCAAAATGTAATATGTTTTCTGTATTGATTTGTATATTAAGCATACTGTACTTTTTTGTTTTAATAACAAAACACTCATAAGTAAATAAGCAAAATGGCAAAAACACAGAACAGATAATCATGGCTCAAGCACATCTGTCACACTAACGATGTCTTTGTTTCTTACCTGCCCAGCTTTGTTCGACTTGTTGACTATTTGGTTATCACCACCTTGCACAGCTGTGCAGTGAATGCAGTGGATGAAATACTGACTCTCCTGCAAGTGCAGGCAGGTCCAACACCCAGCAATGCCATCATTCAAAGCTGGACCCTTGACTCAGACGCTGCGACTGACTGTACTGAAAAAGAGATGGATAAAAAGGTAGGGGAATTATTCAGTACAAGTAACTGTAAAAATATTGCATTTATTTTTGTAGCCATGAGAAATCGAGATGTCAAGAGAACACATTCTTGTTTATGCCAATATATGTATCTTCATCAGACTATTAAGTCAGAAGCTCCTCAATTCCATCCTGTATTCATGTCTGAGTTGATCCTGGACACAAACAGCTTGACTTATAAACCCTCTGAAGAGAACTTCTGGGTATGATTAGTTTTTACACTGTATAGTTTTTTGTTTCTAATCAGAAAATACCCATCAACATTATGTTTCTATTTCCTACAGGAGACTGTTGCAGATTTTATCAAGCATTTTGAGAACATGGTGACGTCAGTTAAGGATCTTACTGAAGATCCTATTTTTAATTCAGTGATTGAACCTCAAAGGGGTGAGGTTAGTGACGTTTTTCAATCTATTTCAACATATTTTCAACCTGCCTCATATTTATACTTAAAATTGTCAGATTTTTTGATAAGATTGAAGTATTATGGTTATGTTGAATTTTAATTTGCAATTAATATGGGATTTTATTTGAATGTTTTATATGTTTCTGGAAGGTGGTAAATAAATATGAAAATGCACCCTCTTTGAAAGTTATCCTAAACAATGACGTCTACCTGCAAAGTTTAAAGCAAAGCATCCAGGTCAGTGTTTTTACTGTGTTGTTTTCCTACGGTCTCATGGCGTCCTGATAGCTTTGAACTGAGCTGATGTATTTTTCTCCTTCAGAGGTCATTCCAGATTGTATTTGCTGCTGCAAATGTGTACTCACACATGTTTGAGCACTTTCCGAGAATGTACAAGGAGAATGAAAGTTTGGATCTGGATGCACTGCAGGGACAGGATCAAGGTAATGTGCAGTACATCAGCATCAACACTGTCAGAGCTTTCTGTAAATTTCTGTGTTTTTTCTCTTTGTTTTGAAAAGATAAAGGTTTTATTTGCCAGATAATTGGACACTTAAAAACAGCACATTCATGTGTTGTCACTGGGTGTATCGTTGAAATATGACAAATGTCCTCCCTCATAATATGCTTTTTAATATTTATTTAACTTTTGCATTGGTCCTTTCGGTCCTTTCTTGGCCTGCTGCTTTTCTTTAATGCGTGGGTTTTTTGTTTTTTGTTTTTTGTTTTTGTTATGGAAATGTTTTATAGTTTACTGCCCAGACAGGATCACATATGTGATTTCAATTGTGTCCTTACAAAACATATTTCATTTTGTCTTTTAATACTTCAAGCTGTCACCAAATTCACATACCTTCAGAGACCATTACATATTATTATTTCTACTCCATTAAGAAAATTATTATTCTCTTCTTGTAGCCAGCAGTCAGTTTGCAGCAATATTTTGTTTTAGCATATTCATTCCACTCTCTGTTGAAGCCTCTATATCTTAGATCATAGCTTGGATCATAGACCCCACAGTTTGATTGTTCTCACCAAATTAAATTGTTCTTTACAAGTTTGGCAGAGTCTCTCTACAAGTAAAAGTCAGTGTACGTAATGATATGGATATGACATGGAATCTTTCTTATCACTGTAGGTTTAGGTAACAGTACAGGGTCAATCAATTGTTGTAGCCTATACTATATTGATTTTTTAAAACATTTTTTTTCATTCTTAGTTTGATGGTTGTTATGTTTATTTTAGAACACCTTACATTATAAATGCTCTTAATATTCTTGGGAAAACATTCGGTCTAAAAAGGCAAAATGGGGATATTGGACATGTTTCTGAATAGGAGAAAATAAAATAAAGTCACGAAGAATAATAAGTTAATAAGTTTTACTTGTTAACTTATTGTTCTTGTGGTTTGTTTACAAAAAGCAAACAAACCACAAGATACATGTTATTTCCTTTTTTGCTGATAATTCTTGATTTTGTCTCACAGATTTATCCTTCTTTGAAAAAGCACTCAAGTTATACTCCACACAGCAAAAGGAAGCCGTAGGCATTCAGCAGAAGACACATCTCGGTTTACTGCTTGTGGACAAAGGACAGCTCAAAGAGAAGCTTGTATCATCTTCCCTCCGAAATCTGGAGGTTAGGATTAGCCTATCTGCACATGCATGCAATACACTCAATAAGTTCTCCACTAAAATGTAATTTTTTTCCCCATTATTTTTGTTTTTTGTTTTTCATCTAAATTTTACTCTTGATTGTTTTTGTGTAAAAATGTGGAAATGTTTTTGACCATAAAATGTGATTTCAGGTCATCAATCACATGCTCACCCAACTTGCTAAGAGGAAAGTAGATGCCATAGTGACTGAAGTTTGTGAGGCCGAAGTTAAACTAGGGTCCAGTCCCTCTACTACAGCTCAGCTGGCTGACTTTCTCAAATTTGTGGATGAGATTCAAGAGAGGGTGAGATGCTCCTGTTTAATAATTAAATGCGATAAACCAATAAAACAGCAGCTTGTTTTCTTTTTCCTCAGCTTCCTTTCTCTGCTTTACTTGACTCCATATTTCCATTTTTTGTTTTGCTAGATTATAGAAATAAAAGAAGAGCAGAAATCAGTATCCAAAATGTACGATCTGATCAACATGTACTCAGTTCCCACACCACCAGAAGATCTTGTGAAGTTTGCCGCACTGGAACCCTTTATTGAGTCATTAAGCTCTGTCATGCTAAAGGCAGTGCTACAGCGGAATGGTACTATGGAAAAGTTTTGCAGCTGCTTGCAGAAGGATATGAAGGAAATCAAACAGGAGGACATGAAAATCCAGGTTAAATTGCAGGTATAAAAAGATGATGACTTTGTTTTTAATTTTGTTGTTATTTTTCTTTTTAATAATGCTAACTAATGGACAATTAAAAAAAACAAAATACATTTGGTATAATTAAAAACTTGTGAATGTCAATGTGTAGGATCCACAAATTCTAGACATCAATGCTGATTCATCACAAGTGCATCTGCTGTTGAGGGAGATCAAGATTTCCATAGAAAAGCTACAGGCCAAAGCATCCTCCTGCATAGCCTACCAGAAGAAATTCAAGGTATTTCTTCTTTCAATGTAAACATATTTCATAGAAAGTAGATCAGGCCATAACAGTTTCAATGTGTGCTAAAAAAAGTTGTTACTTTAATTTTGTAAGCCAAACTTCTGACCACCTGAAAACAACTTACTCTCCCATTCTCTGTTTTTAATTAATAAAGATGGAGGTGACCAAATTTGAGTCACTGGAGCAGCTGACGGCAATGTTCAAGCTAAAGCAGTTGCTCTGGACCTCTCTGGAGCAATGGGAACCTTTACAGAACGTATGGCAGCAGGTGAGGTGCAAACGTTTAATTCTATATCTACAGCAGTGAAAGTAATTCTTTCACCACCTGCTCAATTTGTAAGTTTCATCGCTTACAAAGAAATTATCAATCTGTAATTTATATGGTACTTTCATTTAATAGAGAAACAGAATATCAAGCAAGAATATATATTTAAACACACACACACAGACACATTACATCAAAATTATAAATCGATTTGCATGTCATTTTGTGATATAAATATTTGATCCCCTAAAATCCAGCCAGAATACTGACTCCTGTTGACCCACTGTGTGCACTAAGATTGCAATCAATCACAGATACTCCTAATCTCAACTTGTAGTGTGTGTAAAGCCCCCCTGTCCACAGAATCAAATTCTTCCATTCCAACCTGTCCACCAACACTAGAGCTATCAAGGGATATCAGGGAAAGGTTTGTAGACCTGCACAATGGAGTGAGCTTCAAATCCATCAGCAAGAACCTTGGTGAGAAGATGACAACTGTTTGTGTGATTATTTGAAATTGAAGAAATATAAAATGATCATGAGTCGTCCTCTGTGTGGAGCTCCATAGAGCCTGCCTTATGGAGCGATGATGATCATGAGAAAGGTATTAGCCCAAAACTACATGGGAGGAATTTATTAATGATCTGAAGGCAGTTGGGACTACCATAACCAAGAACAGCATTGGTAACACACTACACCATAACGGACTGAACTTTTGCAGGTCCCCCCGATCAAGAAGGTCTTAAGTTTTTCTATCAATGGGCCTGGGCCCCCTTGCCCTGGTGGGTTCCAGAGTGTGGGGGTGCCTACTGGGGTCAGCGGGGGAGCTGGCCCCAGGGAGGGGCCGCTTGCCCCTCCCTTTCTTCCCTCCCCATCCTCAGCTGCCTCCCTATTCCCGCTCTACCACACACCCCCACGTGGGGGGTGGGCACGTTTTACAGCATCCAGAGGATGGTCGGTGTACTCCAACCCACCTCTGGCGCTGGTGCCCTACCCTCAATTTTAAATGCATTTAGACACTAAGGGTTTTCGGGAGGAGCCGTGCTGCTCTCTGAGAGGAAGCTAGTACCATGCTCTCCTGTGTTTTAAATGCACTTTAGAACAGCACACAGCAACACTACATATGAGCGGGCGTAGGGAGGTTTGAGGTCTTCACTCACCCCGGTTCTGTTAGCCGTCAGGGCTGGGGGGCTGGGAGGAGGTGCTGGCCGTCAGACTGGGGTCTGGGATGCGGGGCCTCCCTGCTACTGCAGATAAGGAGGTGGTCCGCTTGCCTCCACCCCAGAGAGAAGGGTTACATCTCCTGGGTCTAGGTGCGGCTTGCCCCTCTGAGGGCGGGGGTACCTGGACCTGGGATATAGAGTATGTTTGGGGAGTGCGACTGTCTGTGCAGTGTCTATTTGTGTCTGTCTACACGTTGGGTGAGTGCCGAGTATTTGGTTGTGCATATGGGGTGGGAATGCACGTTTGTGTCCGCGTGCGCCTGTTCGTCTGTGTCTATATGTCAGGTTGGGTCTTAGACTCAACCTCTCTGGGTACATCTCAGGCCCTCTAAAGTACGGAGGCCTATCTCCCCTCACCACACTCCCTGCCGGTGGCTGATGCCCTCAGACGTTGGTGTGTTGGTGGTCCTTGTCGTCTGGGGCTGGGCGCTCATGTATGTACCGGCTCACTCCTGGTGGCCGATTGGCGGGGCCTGGCGCCTGTGGCCCGGCTGGGCTCCTTCCGGGGGGTGGGATGCCCTCAGGCCTCTGGCCTCTGGGCCTGAAGCTCGGTCCTCTCTGGCACAGCTGGCTGCCAGCAGAGCCCGCGGGCACGCCACTGCAACCCCCTCTGGCCTCTGCTCCGTACCCTCATACCCTGGGGGACGGGGCTGTGGCTCCCCACACTCCCTAGCAGATCGTTACATGGAGAAACCTTTGGAATACAAGCATGCTGATCCACACAGGTGTGCACACAGGTGTTCACAGACGCGGACTACACCTTTCTTGGCTGCTGCCTCAAAGCACATTGTGCGCTGTCTATCTTGCGTGCTGCACAATATCGTTTAATATTTAGTATCTACTGTTATCTACTGCTAGCTAGTTTATTGTGATGGTGCTGTTTTTATTATGTTGCTCTTTTTTTGTTTGCTTTCTCTTCTGTTTTTTTTTCTCCATACAGGTGATCCAGGTGTTTTGTTTGTTTTTCTTTCTTTCTCTCCCTCTCTTTCTTTCATTCTTTCTCCCTGTCCTATCCCCCAGTCATGTCTGTCCCGTTTGTAGCAACCGAAAATAAAATAAATTCATAATTATAATAAAGGTCAATCAAATGGACCAATATGGCAAGGCCATGATGATCCACTTGGTAAAATAAATCCGCTTGGCATCTTTCTTGGCCTTAAGACAACAATTCTGATGGCTAAAGATCCAAACGGGACAAAAAGAAAAAAAGAAAAAAAAAGAAATGTCTGCAGTCTGAATGTCTGAACATACACTCACAAATACAAATGTTAAAAATGTGGAGCTGCTTTAAACCATTTACGTGTCACTATATAATGAAATAAAAGCTGTCTGTATTTGACAAATATTACCCTGATACCAGGATGACAGACAGCTAGTATGAACCCACAGAGAACGTGACTTTTTGGAATTGAAATGAAAGAAGTACTTTGACCCACCCACAGCATAGCCGTGTCATAGAGGAGGGGCCACTCTGTGTGTGAGTTTGTGTGTGTCAGTCCGTCATGTCAGCATTCATCCGTTTGTTTGTCACTGGCAGAAACTTTGATGGCAGCAGCACAGTTGACCATGAGTGGTGTCACAACTACCAAAGGCTTAGTTATGATTTTGACTCTGATGTGTCTGCTCCATCTTTCAAGTGCACTGATAAACAAGGACGAACTGGAGGAGCTGAAGGGAAACGTTGAAACATTACAAAAGGAAACAGCGAGAAGGAAGGCTGAAAATAATTTATAACTTTTATGCACTGTTTATTTATATGGATATTTAGATGATATTCCGTCTCTCTCCATAAAAACAAGACACTGTTCATTTCTTTGTAAGTGAGCCAAGTTACAAATTTAGCAGGGGATTAAATGATTATTTCCTCCACTGTATTGCAAGTCTGTCCATGCATACACTATAAAGTACAGTTTATAAATGAATGCCATTAGCTCTACTGTGTTCTTTCATTTTATCCATCACTAGAGCACACTTCAACAACTGGACATGGAGCAGTTTAGCTCACAAGTCAACAAATACAACAAGTACGTCAACCAGCTTGAGAAGGGTCTGCCACGTAACAATATAGTTCCCTGTCTGAAGAACAAGGTGGACGTGATGATGCACAGAGTGGGTAGAAAAAAGTGTTATGAAATATCTCATATTTTTTGTTTCATAGATAATGTTGCCAGCAGCCTCTTTATAAAATCATACCACATTAAAATATGAAAGTAATAGACTGTTTTTGTGACTTCCCAAGTGGTATTTATGTGTTCTTTTTTTAGCTGCCTGTGATCACTGATCTTCGTAACCCATGTCTGAAACCGGAACATTGGCAGACTTTGGAGTCTTTGGTGGGGACTTCCCTCAATGTGGATGAACTTACCATAGCTGGTTTAGAGGAGCTCAGTGTTTTCTCATATGGCAAGGAGATTCAGGAGGTAAAATGTATATAATATGAGATTTGCTTGTTCTGCTTAGGAGACTCTGGGTACTACTGAGTACACAACACATCCTAATACCTAATAAAAGTTACAGATTGATTAGAGATCCCAAATTTATCAGCTCATCATTAAATTGCAACTATAGTTATGGCAAACTCCTTAGGGACTGACACAAATATTAACTTTTAGGTTTCAGGACAAGCTTCAGGTGAGGCATCAGTGGAGACCATTATCACAAAGGTATGTGGGTTAAATATAACTATTTATACAGATATTACATCTCATTAAAAGTACTACATTGGAAGTTACATTTACACATCTCTCTATTTAATATACTATCCCCACATTTTATACCCAAATATGAGTAAAAGCCACTCAAATGTTACTTGATTTCAGAGAAAAAATGCTAATCTATTAGTGTAAAAGGAAAGAAACAGTTAGCTATGTTTGCATAACCAATTAACAAGACAAGATATGACATGTTACATGGCTATAACTATAATAGCATGAGAGGTCTAATGCAGCAGATGTTTCCACCATAGACAGGTTAACTGTTTTGGCTGCAGTGTCAGATTTAGCACACTACTCAACACAATATCTACGCTCCTTTTGGAAATTCACGTTTGTGGGAGAATAAACATGCATGCAAAACAATATTTAAGAAATTCCATGTGTTACTGCGTGTTGATGAAGCACTCCTAATGGGTCTTGCAGGTGGAGGATTTGTGGAAGAACACAGAGTTTACTGTGCTGTCCCATGGTGACACTAAGGATGTCTTTATCTTGGGAGGCACGGATGATATCCAGGTTGTGATGAGTTGCACTTTCATGCAGTCTATTGTAAAACATCACCAGTGTTTCAGTATCTCTAAATGTTTATGTTTCATCGCTCTGTGTTTATTTATGTGTGAAGGTACTCCTGGATGACAGCATTATCAGTGTGGGCGCAGTGGCATCCTCACGCTATGTAGCTCCCATCAAGGGGAGGGTCAAGAAATTGCTGACACAGCTGATCCTTTTTAACCAAACATTGGTAAAGTCTTTTAAAATAGTTTATTTCTAAGTGAAACTGGTTCAGCTGTAATAAAGGTTTGCTTTCTTAAATGCAGATCCAGTTTCATTCACATTGGCTTTCCTCAGTGGCTGTAGAAAAGAAAACAAAATACTTGCAAAATATATGATTTTTCAAAGTTTACTGAGTTCAGTAGATGGTTTAAGAGAACATTGTTGAGTTTTTTGTCTTTTTCATTAATTCCTATGCATTTTATATACTCTGTCTGCTCACTGTGTTTCTTTTTTTCCTTTCTAGGAGGAGTGGCTTACATGTCAAAGGAACTGGTTATACCTAGAAAGTATCTTTTTGGCTCCAGACATAAAAAGACAGCTGCCTGCTGAGTCAGAAATGTTTCTTAAAGTTGACAAGTCCTGGAAAGAGATCATGGCTAAAGTTAACTGGATGCCCAATGCTTTTGATGCAGCCACACAGACTGGTATGTGACTGTAAATGATTCATGACAGACGCGACTGTGTTTCAGCGGTTTTCAGCATTCTTTATTTTCATGGTTGCTGGTTTACACACACGGCTGTAGCTTTGCAGCTCACAGCTGAACACATCACCCACAACAACAACAAAAGACAGACAGGACCCAGTTCAGACTTTAAGCCGGCGAGACATGATTGCAGATGTCGCTCAGGTGTCACCACGCCACAGTGACCAAACACGATGCATTAAAACAGCATTGTAGGGATGTTAATGCTGAAAGACGAAGGCAGAATTACTGTACATGCAAATACATGCATTCATGAAGGCGACTATGTTGACACACTGCATACAAGCCTGTTGTTTTATCCCAAAAGGTCTGTTGGAGACTTTGCAGCAGAACAATGCTCTTTTGGATGAGATACAGAAGTGTCTGGAAGCTTACCTGGAGTCCAAGAGAGTCATCTTCCCAAGGTACTTTGTACACATGATTTGTTTGTTTGTTACATGATAGAAAAGCAGGCCTGTACACTGTATTGCAGCTAGAAGCCTCAGATAAGAGTAGAAAAACAATGCTGTCAACACCAGACACCAGCAACTAGTATCTTCAGTTCCCAGACATCCCAGTTAAAATAAGATGGGATGCTACACAGTCATAAACACGGCCCTGTCCTCATTTTTTTTAAATTTGTTGTGACATTTGATGTTTCTGTTGTGTGAATAAAATATGGTTGTATGTGATTTTAAAATCCCTTATTCCACCACACCAAGTATATCATATTTGATATGCAAGTTTTGTGCATTCTTTGAGTTTTTGAGACTTCTACAACAACAGTGTAAATTTTGAATTTACACACATTTTGAATGGACTGTTTTAAACTTCACTTTGCTTGATCTTCATAAAAATCTCATGCTGCCGATTGATTCATAAAAATCAATCGGCAGCATGTTTAATTTTTAAATGCAATTAAAGATGCGGAGTTTGAAAGATTATTTGTGGATGCCGCGGTAATCTGGGTTCACCAAAAGTACATTTTGAAAGCAACAATTTTCATGTTTAGTCTATCGACATCTGATTGAAGATCATGGCAATGTAATATTCTTTTCCTTCCTTTAGATATGTTTCATAGACAATCTAAACTCTTAATGTCTAATTATTTATATTTTACATTTTTTGTTTTTAGAAAATGACAAACATTATTGTTAGATTGTTTGCATGCTGTGCTATGTACCTTTTGTCTGTGACTTACAGGTTTTACTTCTTATCCAATGATGAACTGCTAAAGATTCTTGCTCAGACACGTAACCCTCAGGCAGTGCAGCCTCACCTCAGGAAGTGTTTTGATGCCATCACTCGACTGGAGTTTGCTTTATTGCCTGAAGAACCTTCTGGTGCTCCAGAAATGTTGGATGATGGAGAGCAGAAGACCATATATAGCACAGACATCCTGAATATGGTGTCCCCTGAGGGAGAAAAGGTCAGGCTTGAGGAACCTTCAGTCATCTGGTCATTATTGTCTGTGTTTAATTCTGCATGTTATTCTCTCTTTAGGTCTTTGTTATAAAGTAGAAAAACTTTCTGATGTTTTTTACTCATTTGGCAGGTTAGAATTCCTAAATTGAACCAGTCATTGAGATACAAGTAAGATATGATTCTTAGGTAGCCAGTCATTTGAAAGCAAGAAGCTCACATGCACAAAATCTAAGAGAACAGTCTTAAAGAATAATATTATATCATAATCACAAAGTATATGTAATTTTTAATGCAAGTGTGGATTTTATAGTTTGAGCTCTCTTTAATAAATACTACTTCTCTCTCACTTGGCAACCATCTTAGTATAGTAAGAACTATTTCAAGTGCAAGGACTTAGCAAGTACCAATTAAGGCATAAAAGGGACATCCCAAGTCTTAGTTTGCACCCAAAATTAGAAACATAATAAGACATGAAAGGTGATGTTATTATGGACATTTGTTTTACAAGAATTCTTTTGTTGACATCTGTTTGCTGCTCTGGGTTTTCTTATTCACATGAAAAACTCCAGTCTTTGCTCAGGTGTCAATTACAAAATAGTATAACAAGCACAAGAGGTGTAATCAAAACCTCAACCCTAACTGATTCTGTGGTTCTGTGCTTGAAGGTGGGTTTGGCTAAAGGTCTGAAAGCACAGGGAAATGTGGAAGACTGGCTTTGCAAAGTGGAGGAGGCTATGTTCTCCTCACTGCGACAGCTCAGCAAGGCTGCCATTGTAGACTACCAGAAGAAGTCTAGAGAGGAATGGGTGGTGGCTGGACACCCGTCACAGGTACACAAATACACGAACACACACACACACACACACACACACACACACA